CGGGCCCAGCACGGCGCGCCCCGAAGGTCCTGGAGCCGCCGGCCCCTCTCCTCACCTGCGGTCCCCACCTGGTGAACGGTGACCCGGTGCACACAGGGGGCGCCGCCCAAGCAGTATTGCCGGAAGTCGCTCCCTGCCGCCCGCTCACCCCGAGAAGCTCCGCCCCCGGCCGCGCTGATTGGCTGGTGCGGAGCCACGAGGCGAGGAGCTGCGGAGTCTCAGTGGCCACTGCGCGCGCGGGCGCACTGAGCGCGCGGGCGGGGTCTGCAAGCCGTGCCTCGGTGGACGCGGGCCGGGCTTCGGCTCCGTCCGCAGCCCTGTTGGCGACGAGAGCGTGTCCTGCGCTGAGCCTAAGGCGTAGGGCTTGCTGGGAACGCGCTGGAGGAGTGGCGTCCACGCGGACGGGACGTTTCCCCACCTCGGAACGGGGGCGCGAGCCGCGGGCCCGAGCGCTGTCTCTGACCTGAGGTGCGCGCGGGAGACTTCCGGCCTGGCGGTCGCCCCCTGGCGGTGCGGGCGGGCGAGTCCGGCTACCCGGGAAGCGCCCTCGGCGCGCGGGGCTTGGCGTTTGCAAGATGTTTGGAGCAGCGTCCAGTGTGTAGCAAGCAGATACGCTTAAATGTTCAACTTTAGTATTTTTTAAATGACAAGATCTTGGAGCATGTCAAGAAGATATTTGTATTTGGAATTGTTTTTGTAAATTATTTCAGGTGTTAATAGTGTCTCTTGGCTATGTGCTTTTATTTGTGTGTTTTTAATGTAAATAGATAATTTCGTATTACGTCGAGTGACAGTCCATCCATCTAATGTTGATGAAAATTTAGGATAATTTTTACAAAGTTTTAGTATTTTTCTTTTTCTTTTTTTTTTTGGAACCGGGGATTGAACTCAGATCCTTGCGCTTGCCAGGCAAGCGCTTATTCTACTGAGCCATCTCCCCAGCCCCAAGTTTTAGTATTTGATTGGCAATCAATACTATCCTTCAAAAAAAAAAATACTATCCTTCACCCCTCATTCTTATTTTGAGAAATTTTGAAAATGCAAAAAATAAAGTATTCATATACTACAGTCTAGAATCAGCTAATATCTTCATATACTGTATTTGTGTGCTTGTAGGGTTTTTATGTAGGTAGATATGGTATTTTCAGTTTTTATCGATTTTTATATGCTTGTTCTTTTTAAGAGAAATAGGTATTTATATAAAAAGCTGATGCCCCACCGCCACCTCCTGCATTCATTCCTTTGAGTTTTCACTCTTCACAGGCCACCACTAGCACGAGTTTGGACTTATTTCCATACACACTTGTATCCATTACCAATATAAAATATTGAGCTACATAAAAGAATCTTTAAATTTACAAAAAGTCATTATATGCACCATTCTACAATTTGATTTTTCCCTCTCAACATTTTTTAGATTTTTCTGTTAATACATGTGCTCTTACCTATTATATATATGTGTACGTATGTACACATACATATATATACACACAAATATATTTCAATCATAAGAATTTTCCATTTTGTTCTGGATGGCCATTTACATTACTTCCAATATCTGGCTACTGCAAGTTAAGACACTTTAAATATCCTACTATATATTTTTTCAGCATACACACAAGTAGAACTACTATGTATTTTTTTAATTTGTTATAGGAAATAGTTTCCTCTACTCCAAAGCTGATGAACATTTTAGTATACAGGCTTTCCATACTTCTGTCTTTAATACGTATGGATTCTACATGTACATAGCTCATGGTCTGTTCTCCCTTCTCAGAGAGCAAATTACTTCCAAACAGTTTCTGAAAGTCTTATTATTTCTTTATCCCCTAATTTCATCTCTTTTCATGTTCCATGTTTGAAATTCTAATGCTTAGGACTCTATGTGGAATCTCTTCTGTTGTGCAAAGGCTGCTTATTTGTAGATGGCCATATGCAGTACAGATATTCCTCATTTAATGAGCAGCCTGTTTATGGACCATTCAGACTTGCCACTGAGGCACTGTGTTTGGACTTACAAACCCACTTCTTAGACTTACAACCTGTCTTTTTTTTTGGTATGGTTCTATACATCTTGTTTATAGAACCTCAATGTCCTTTCTATACAGTACATCTTGCTTAGTACTGTAATTTTTGCTGATAGTTCTGTACTGTAGTTTTGTGTTCTGTTGTATATTACCGTACTGTATATAAGGGTTATGCAAATAAAAGCCAGTTCATCAAGTTGGAATATCTGACCATTTCTTTTGTTCAGAATAGTGTATAACCTATATACAGTTCTTCATTTAACAACCAATTAATGACCTAACCACAGGATCTTGGTTGTTAAAAGATTTCTGCATGGTTTTTTTTCTCTTCCTTTGTAATACACCTTATTTTTCTTACTATACTGATGAAGATCTCCAGATGTATGCTCAGAGTAGTAACAGGCCTCTATTTTCTGTTCCCAGTTTTAGGAAAATGTGTCTACAGTTACAGTCTTACTTTTTTTTGGGGGGGGGGCACAGTCTTCATCATACAAATGTCTCTTCCTTCAGTATGCATTGCTGGTATTCTGAAACTTTTTAAGTATTTGTTATAGTTCACATCACCTGTAGTACTCTGCTTCAAAGTATTTTGATGCACTGTGAAATGCAAGATTTAGGTTTAAATTTTCTTATTTAGGAGATAATTTTAATGGGTATGAATTTTCTAATATGTAATATGGTGTGACTTCTGTCTAAAACCTTTCTCACATTCACTACATTGATGAGGTTTCTTACCTGTGTGTACATTCAAATGCAGAAATAGAGTTGAGAATTGGGAGAAAGCTTTCCCACATCACTTATATAGTTTCTTGCCTGTTGGCTTCTCACATGGACAGTGAGAGATGAGTACTAACTGAAGGCTTTTCCACATACATTGCATTCATAAGCCTTATCATCTGAATGAATCCTCACAAGCACAGTAAGAGATGAATTTTGAGAGACTTTTTTGTACTTACTACGTTCATAGGGTTTTTCTTTCATGTGAATGTTTGGGTGCTTTGTGAAGGTACTTCTGGATAGAAGCTGTTCCATGTTCTTTGCATTTAAAGGGGTTCTCTCCAATTTGAATTTTCTCATGCTCAGTGAAATTCTATCTGCCTCTAACGGTTTTCCCACACGCCTTACATATGAAGGACTTCTTTCCCATGTGAGTTCACTAGTATCTAATGTGGTTTGACTCCTAAATGAAAACTTTGCCATAATCTTTGTACTCAAAAGGTTTTTCTCCAGTGTGAATTTTCTGATGAATAAGATTTTTCTTCTGGCTAAAGGATTTTACACAATCATTACATTCAAAATGCTTCTCTTCAATATGGGTGTTCTGTTGTTTAATGACAAGCTGATTTTGGCCAAAGGCTTTCCCATATATGATAACATTCAAAAGTCTTCTCTCCGGTATGAAGATGCTAAATAAAGCCATTGAGATTACAGTAGACATTTCAACACGAACTTTAAAGGCCACTAAAACCTGGGATGAAGTATTTTAAAGCTTAAAAGCAAACAACTTACAAACCAGACTAATATGTACTGCAAAATTTTCTTTCAAAATAGATGGAGAAGTAAAGGTATCCTATAACAGTGAACAATTTAAGAGATATGTGCACACCAAACCAGCACTCCAAGAAGTATTCAAGAATATCTTAGAGAGAGACAAGAAAGCCAAAAATTTATGTGTAGCGCAGCAGCCAGGGTATATGGAATGTATACATCAATAAGGCAAATAGTTCCATGAAAAAAGGAAAAATAAAGGAGTCATAAAAAAAAAAGAGAGGGGCTGGTGAGATGGCTCAGTGGTCTAAAGCACCTACTTAGAACAAGCTTAGCCAAAGTACAGGGACCAAGGTTCAATCCTCCAGCACCACATGCCAGCCAGCCCCGCCCCCTGGTGGGCTGAGCTGGCCACACACACACACACACACACACACAAATAAAAAAAATTAAAAAAAAAAAAAAGAAGAAATCAATACCTGTAAGAAATAACTCTCAGGCCAGCAAAATAGTTCAGCGGATTAAAACGCCTGAAAGCAAGTGCAAGGGCCAGGAGTTATATCCCCCGGCCTGCTGGCCTTGCCCTCGGGGTGCACTGAAATAGCAATTGAGACTGGGTGTGGTGATGCGTGCCTGTAATCCCAGCTCTTGGGAGGCTGTAAACAGGTGGATCGGTACCAGTCGGATCTAGTAGTGAGAACCTGAACACCCTGTAGACCCTTCCCTAAAAGATACAAAAAAAAGAAGAAGAAGAAGAAGAAGAAGAAGAAGAAGAAGAAGAAGAAGAAGAAGAAGAAGAAGAAGAAGAGAAGAGGAGGAGGAGGAAGAGGAAGGGGGTGGGGAGGGAAGGAAGAGGAGAAAAGAAAGAAAGACTTCTCAGTGTAAATATCTTCAACTTCCCAATGAAAAAACACAGATTTTCAGAATGGATCGAAGAAAAGAATTCAGTAGTTTCTTGCATTTAAAAAACTTACTGACTCCAAAAAGAACAGTTCTGAAATAATATTTCATGCACCACAGCGCTGAAAGCAAACATAGGTAACAATTTTGTTTCAAAGTAAACTTAAAGCTAAAACTGAGCAAAAGAGGCAAAAAGGATTACTAGTTAAGAAAATCAACAGGAATAGAAAACACGTAAATATACATGCACCAAATATTGGCACACTTAACTTCATAAAACAAATATTGTTGGTCATAAAAGATAAATACCACAATCATTGTGGGTGACCTCAAAACTCCACTTTCACATAAATCAACTAAAAGTCAACAAAGATCAGAGCTGAACTACATTTTGAACAAATGGACTTCATAGATGGCTAGAGAGTGTTCTACCCTACTACAACAGAATACACATTCAGCTCAGAGGCACGTGGAACTTTCTCCACAATAGATCACATATTAGTCCACAAATCCTGCTTAAATGAATACAAAGCAATTGAAATTACCTCATGTACATGATCAGCCCATCATGCATTGAAACAAAAAAATCACAGAAAATTTAGAAATACTTGCAAAGTGAATAACACTCCTGAACAATCAGGTCACAGGAAAAAATTAAAGTTTCTGGAATCAAACAAATATACCAGAACATCATAGCGGAACCTATGTGACACAATGAAAGCAGTACTATTCGGGAAGCTTATTGCAGCCAATTATTATTATTATAAAAACAGAACAAGCTCAAATAAATGATCAAATGATTGACATCGGGCTGGTGAGATGGCTCAGTGGTCTAAAGCACCTACCTAGAACAATCTTAACAAAGCACAGGGACCGCGGTTCAATCCCCCAGCACCACATGCCAGCCAGCCCCGCCCCCTGGTGGGCTGAGCTGGCCACACACACATACACACACACACACACACACACACACAC